ATAGAATCCAACTACTCATTAAAAAGATCATACACCATGACCAAGTAGGATTCATCCCAGGGATGCAAGGATGGTTTAACATTTGGAAATCAATCAACATAATCCACCATATCAACAAAAGAAAAGATAAAAAGCATATGATCATATCAATAGATGCAGAGAAAGCATTTGATAAGATCCAGCACCCCTTTATGATGAAAACCCTAGCCAAATTGGGTATAGAGGGGACCTTCCTCAACATAATTAAAGCCATCTACCACAAGCCTACAGCAAGCATCATCCTCAATGGGGAAAAACTGAGAGCCTTCCCTCTAAGATCAGGGACGAGACAGGGATGCCCACTCTCTCCACTGCTGTTCAATATAGTACTGGAAGTACTTGCAATAGCGATTAGGCAGGAAAAAGATATTAAGGGCATTCAGGTAGGAAAGGAAGAAATCAAGCTCTCACTATTCGCAGATGATATGATACTCTACTTAGAGAACCCAATAACTTCCACCAAAAAACTCCTAGAAACAATAGACTCGTATAGTAAAGTTGCAGGTTATAAAATCAATACCCAAAAGTCCATGGCTTTCCTATACGCAAACAGTGAGAGAAAAGAAATTGTTTCTTAAAGACCCAGATTAACCTAATGCAAGGCAAGCACCCTACCTTCTCTACTATCTCTCTGCCCCCCCCATCCTCCATTTTCATTTTTGTCTTTGCTTTGGTATTTGTTTTGTAGATATTTTTTATAATCTTTTGCTTAGTTGCTTGAAATTCGAAGGCAAACCATCCAACACGACTGGAACTATTTGCACCACTGGTAATGTTTCCTGGTAGAGCACACGAGAGTGGGCATTTGCCTGCACATTTGAGTGCACACACACATGCACACAAGACTGGGCAACACCTTTGCAACTCATAAAAACATGAAGGGATAATTTATTTTTCTGCAGTTAACAATATTAAACTAAGTACATTTGCTTTTTTCTTATGAAGAGAACTTTGGCCATAATAGAAACTTTGAAATATGCAGCAAATCGTTCTCATAGATAATCAGGCTGTACATTTTAGGGTGGGCTGGAGTGATAGCACAGCGGTAGGGCGTTTGCCTTGCACGCAGCCAATATGGCCGACCCGAGTTCGATTCTGCTTCTCTCGGAGGGCCCGGCAAGCTACCGAGAGTATCTCGCCTTCCCGGCAGAGCCTGGCAAGCTACCCGGTGTATTCGATATGCCAAATATAGTAACAAGTCTCACGATGGAGGCGTTACTGGGCCCACTGGAGCAAATTGGGAGGACTGTGACCGTGACATTTTAGGGTAGAACTTACCTTATCTTTTATAAGTTTGTATCTTTTCATCTTCACCTACTTCTCCTTTGACAACCATCAGTCTGTTCTGGTTCTCTTGAATCAGTTTTGTAAGATGCCACATTTTAGATCTTATAATATTGCTTTTTCCTCTTTCTGACTTTGGTTTAGCATTCTTTCTTCAAGGGTCCGTCTGGGTATTCCTCACGTTTAAGATTTAGGCATTTAGTGCTGCAGAATTTTAGCTCAATGATTGAAGCACATGCTTTTGCATTTTGAACCCTGCGTTCCATCCCTGCATCAATTGCCACTCATCCCCAACATCACCACTTGCCACTCATCCCCAGCATCATCACTAGGAGCATCCCCGCTTATTGCCAGGTGTGGCTGCAAAACAAAAGCAGGAGTTTGTACTAAAGTAAAACTATTGTCCATTTTTTCATCAACCCCAATTAAAACTATCCTCATTCTTTGTTTTCAGCCTTTTATTCTTCTCTCCCCCACAACCTGCCAACCACTTGTTTTTTTTTTTTAAAAGTAAAGTAAGTAAAGTAAAGGCCATCCCGTTGATCGTCGATTTGCTCGAGCGGGCCCAGTAACGTCTCCATTGGAGACTTTGTTGTTACTGTGTCTGGCATATCGAATACTCTCGGTAGCTTGCCGGGCTCTCCGAGAGGGGCGGAGGAATCGAACTCGGGTCGGCCATGTTGGCTGTGTGTAAGGCAAACGCCCTAAACATTGCAGAAATCTAATGTTTTCTAAGCACCTAAATAGGTGTTGAGAGGCATATTGCTGATGCCTCTCAACACCTTAAGACTATGGAACAGGGGTCAGGGAGGTCACCCAGAGAACTCGAACCCAGTGTCTGCATGTTGGAGCCCTGGCTCATCCCTGGCACTACATAGCTCTGGGTGTGGTCCAAAACAAAAGAGAATATGTAATAATAATTGTAGGTTGCTAGTGAGGTGTTGTACATTCCTGGCATGTCTTCTAGAAGACTGAAATATGTCGTTGATTTGAGAAGGGAAGGGCAACGTGAATTTTCCTGAGACAAATTTTAGCAGGGTACATTGAAGTAGAAATTGTGGATTAGAATGCATTTCATGTAGAATATGTAGAATATGTGTTTGATAATATTTTAGAATTTTAAGACTGTCACTTACGGCTTGCTCTTTAAGCCGATGTTCTCTTTTGAATGCAGGTCCCCTCTTCGTCCCCTCACATCTTTCTAAATAAGTTTCACTGAATAAAAACTATCTGCTGGGGCTGGAGAGGTACTGTAGGTCAGGCACTTGCGTAGCACATGACCCATCTGGGTTTGATTCCACACACCATCACCAATAAACCCTGAGCACTACTGGATATGGCCCCCAAAATTCCCCAAATAAAGAAAAATTTAAAAATAAAAACTATCTTGCTTTACTTAATAAAAAGAATGTCACAGGCTGGAGCAATAGCACAGCGGGTAGGGTGTTTACCTTGCACGTGGCCAACCCAGGTTCAGTTCCCAGCATCTCATATGGTCCCCTGAGCACTGCCAGGAGTAATTCCTGAGTTGCAAAGCCAGGAGTAACCCCTGTGTATTGCTGGGTGTGACCCAAAAATCAAAAAAAAAAAAAAAGAATGTCACTTGCTGTTAATCTGAAATTTTATGAAATATGAAAGTCTTAAGAGAGGGGCGGTTTAGGGTTGGTGGAGGGAACCTGAGAACATTTCTCAGGGGCTGGAGGATAGTACTGTGGGTAGGGCATTTGCCTTGCATGCGGCCGACCCAGATTCAATCCCCGGCATCCCATATGGTCCCCCAGGCACCGTCAGGAGTAATTCCTGAGTGCAAAGCCAGGAGTAATCCCTGAACATCGCTGGGTGTCACCCAAAAAGAAAAAAAAATTTCTCAGTATAATTTGATTTCAGTATGTTATTAGAATAATTTGTAACCAGCAGTGTGTTAAAGAATTATTTAATGCCATTATTTATAGGATGACATAGAGTAAAAAAATCAGTAATTTAGAATTAGTATTTAGAAACATAAAACAATTTATATGTTACTCTTTCCTAAGAATATTGAACCTCTCAGTCTTATTTCTTGGCTAATTCGTCATTGTGGAATTGTGGTATTTTGGAAATATTCTCAATGTATTCTTTGAGAGTGGGAGCCAAATTCTGAAGCTATTTTGTTGAAGAGAATTGAAGATGGTAGCAGGCTTCTCCTGGCTTGTGAAGCGTATGGAATCTTTGAAGCGAGATTCCAGAAATATTCTCATATCTGAGGGCAAATTTTTTTTCTCTTTTAAAAATTGTTATTAATTATTTTTGTTTCTGTTTGGGGTTTTGGGCCATCCTGGACAGTGAGCAAGGATCACTCCTGGCAGTGTTTAGGGGACCCTGTGTGGTGCTTGGGATTGAACCAGGGGTGGTATTATGCAAAACCGTAATCCCTGTAGTTTCTCTCTAGCCCCCCAAGTTCTTACTGTATTGCTTTAAAACTGTAAATATGTGTGTATTTGCGTTTCTTAATGTAAAGAAATACTTAGGCAATTAAAGATTTACTTCGACAGATTTTATTTAGTTTAGGTTTTTTAGTTTAAAAAAATAATATGACTCAAAAATGCAAATTTTCAAAGCAGCACTGACTCATGTTTCCCTCCCTCATACTCTCTAGACGACTTCTTGAATCTTTTGTATCCTTCTATTGTTTCTTTGCACAAGTGGAAATAACGCTCCTCCATTCATGCACAATAAATGTGTTGTATGCACTCTTTTACATTCATAACTGCTTATTTAATGTTGTTAATCTTAGAAATGTTTTCCTTTTCATTTTTCATTTTAAGTACACTTGTGTGCTTGTCACTTTGACAGATTTGAAGATTTTCTAGTTTAAAATCAGTTTCGATTTGTGATAATGTAGAATATGTAATAATTTAATAATTTCAAATGATTGTGTCAGCAGGAAACTTCATAGATATAATTCCTTGTTCCTTTTGATAAGTTGTTTTTTAGAAACTCAAGATGCTTGAATATGCAGGATTTAAAACTATAAAAAAATTCTAAAATTTTTTTCTGGCTACCGAAGATACTCACATGATTCTTAGTGTGTGTTTCCAGTGTAAGTATTGAGAAATACCTCACAAATGAAGTCACATGGTAGCTGAAAGTCTGTTTATTTACAATCGATAGAACTGTCAAAATGAGAATAGCAGGGTTTTTTACATGTCTTCACAGAACAGCTTTTGTTTTATCTATTTTCTCACTGAAAAAACAGGGTAGGTGTTATTAAGCTCTTTAATTGATGTACAGATTAATTAGTTTTGCTGTTTCATATCTTTATGTAGTTTTAGCTAGAAATAAGTTGACTAAAGGTAGAAAACCTGGTTTAACTTTTTTTATGTGATTAGTGCATATATCTAGATAGTAAATCTTTACTACATTTAAAATGAATTAAGAAGGATAAAATGACTTATCACTTAAAATGTTTTTTCTTTCGCAATTAGACTAAATTCCTGATTTCTAATTGCTAAGTAAAAGTCTTAGTTTGGGTTGAAAGTTTTACAAGAACTTGTTAGTGGACAGTTTTAAATTGTGTCATTGGTAAGAGTTCAGATTCTCAAATTCTGTGGATTTTCTCTTTTGTATGGTAATCTATTGCCTGTTGCAGAGGGAAAATAGAACATGCAACTAATTCACTGTTTTATTCTTATTGTTAGACCTAAAGATTGTCTCCGATCTGTTATGAGGAGAGTGAACCACAAGGACCCTCATGTCGCCATGCAGGCCTTGACTGTGAGTGGCTTCATTTTGTGTCATACTGCAGAAATATTTGTCCAAATAGAGCCTTTAACTCTTGATTTTCTGTTGTTCTAGCTTCTAGGTGCATGCGTATCAAACTGCGGCAAAATTTTTCACTTAGAAGTATGTTCAAGAGATTTTGCTAGTGAAGTAAGCAACGTATTAAATAAGGTAAGGAACATATTTCTAAAACGAATTAAGACAGTCTCACTTCTTAAGTATTTTATTGTCTAATTCTTTGCATTTTTGCAGAAGTGTAGACTTTGCTTGGAAAGCAAAAATTTAATCCTTGTTAGCTAGGTATCTAGAATGTAAATAAGTGTTATATTTTTTGAAGACTAGAAGTAACTTCGAGAGTTGACTTTTTTCTTTCTTTTTTTTTTTTTTAATTTTTTTTATTTATTTATTGAATCACTGTGGGAAAGGTTACAAAGCTTTCAGGTTTATGTCTCAGTCATGCAAATATCAAACACATTTCCCTTTACCAATACTTATTTTTTACCATGAAGAACCCCAATAAAACCCCACCCCCCACCCCTCCCCGTCCCTGTGAGGCAGATGAATTCTAGTTAACACTCTATCTGCTTTGATTAGATTCATTGTTTCAATAAAAGATTCACCACTATTATTTAGAGTTTACCCCCCCCCCCCCCCCAAATCAGACATGCTGAAAAAGCATTGTGAAGTGATTTGCTTTCTACGGCTGGGTTCAAGAATTAAATGTTGGTTTTGGATTTCTGCTCTTTTACCTATTGACCCTGGAAGTATTTCTACTGAAAGTCAGATAGTTAAGAAATTGGTTTCTGTGTTCTGGAGTTGTGGCCGTGCTGGAGAGCCGCTCGCGGGGGGCAACCGGTGGCCTCGGTAGGGCGTGAAGGGCGGAGCGAAACGCCCCCCTTCCCATGAGGTTTTAGTCGCCCCCACACTCCCGGCTCATACCTGCTGTCCACAAGGCTCCCATGTGGCCGCCATCTTTCTTTCCAGAGAGGAGAGGGCGAATGGGGCAACACCCTTTCCCCTCCGGCAGACTTCATGGCCTGGATCAATGCATAGTCCGTTCACTTTTCTGCTCCAAGCTGCTGGGTTCTGCATTAAGTCCTTGTGCTTCTGGGGCCGTGGCCGTGCTGGAGAGCCGCTCGCGGGGGGCAACTGGTGACCTCGGTAGGGTGTGAAGGACGGACCAGAACGCCCCCCTTCCCATGAGGTTTTAGTCGCCCCCACACCCCCGGCTCATACCTGCTGTCCACAAGGCTCCCATGTGGAGAGTTGACTTTTTTCCAAGACAAGTCAGAGTCATTTAACTTCTTTTCTTCTCTTCTTTAATCATTCTTTCCTCTTTTTTTTTTTTATTTCTATTTTTGCTTTTGGGCTACACAGGACAGTGTTTGGTGCTTACAGCTGGCTCTGTGCTTGGGGGCCCATATGTGGTGCTGGGAATTGAAATAGGTTTGGCCGTATACTTTTCTTCTGCCCTCTTTTAGTAAGAGAAGATTAGTTATTCTAATAAACCTATAGGATAAATAGTACCTTTCTCTTTTAGCCTGGGCTATCTGCTGTAGGACTGCTCAGCAATATTGTGTTAAATATGGTACTGGTTAGGTATCATCTTTATATAGACCCATCAGAACCTGGCCACCGTAGTTACAGTTTTATACTGTAAAATAGAGCAAAACTACTGCATTCTAAAGTTATTTCCGACACTGGTTTTTGACATATATTAAGAAAAAATTTTAATTGTTAAAGGGAAACAATTTCACGTGTTTTGGAGAAAATGAGAATCTCTGAATTTCCATATAAAAAAGCATAGCCGAGACTGGAGAGATGGTATAGCAAGTAGGGCACTTGCCTTGCAAGCAGCCAACCCAGGTTCTATTTCCTGTACCCTGTATGATCCCCCAGGCCCTACCAGGAGTGATCCCTGAGAGGAGAGTGAGGAATAAGCCTTGAGCATAGGTGTGGCCCACAAACCAAAAAGCTGAAAGTGTTGCAGAGATAGTTGGGACTAAAGTTATGATTCAGCCAGAGGTAAAGCACATGTGCCTTGCATGTGAGATGTCCTAGGTTGGATTTCCAGCACCGATAAAAGAAAAAATAAAAAACACCCCCAAACAAAAATCTAAGAGTCTGATATTATTTTTTGTTGTGTTTTTGTAAACCATACCTGGTGGTGCTTGAGAGCTACTTCTGGCTCTGTGCTCAGGAGTCACTCCTGGCAGTGCTGGGGGGCGGTGGTGCTGGGGATAGAACTGGATTTCCCACCTGAAAACCATATGCTTGGCCCTTTGAGATCTTGCTCTGGCCCCTGTCAGTCTTCCTGGCAGTGTGGGAAGAAGCTGAGCCCTTCAGTGCTCAGGGATCCACCCTTTGCATGGGCCTCTGCATGCAAAGCACGTGCACTCGTCTCTGAGTTCCCTAGCCCTCGAATTGGAAATTCACTGTCTATGTATTTTCCTCAGTGGTAGGGCATTCGCCTTACAAGCGGCCAACATGGCCGACTCGAGTTCGATTCCTCCGCCCCTCTTGGAGAGCCTGGCAAGCTACCGAGAGTATTGGATATGCCAGACACAGTAACAGTAACAGTGTGATTTATTCATTTATATCTAGGGTTTTTTTTAAATCCTTAACGGTTTTCAAGATGTACAGCTGTTTACGAGGTTCTTATAACCTGTTTTCTCTAATTTAATTGGACTTGAGTTCAGTGGCATGCACTATTGTTGGAGGTGGGAAACTCTGTGGGGTGTGAATGAGAAGGGGGAGAAGGGGGCCTCCCAGGTTGTATTCAGAGAGGCTGGCTCTTGGCTGTTGATCATTTTGAAAAGCCAGTAGTGGTCACGGTTAGGAGAGTGATCTTCTCTATACAAGTTTTGTAATGTGAATCATATGGTTTTTATACCAAAGGGAGAGTTTATTTTGGAAAAATTAAATTTCTAGGACTAGTACTCTGACATTCCCTGAGTCTCATGTCAGGCCTTAGATAATTCTGTAACTTGAGACACTTGCAGTCATGTATCTTAAAATCAAAACTAAGGAATAAACAACTGAGTCATTTTTTCAGTTTATTTTTTTATTAGTCCATAAACACATAAAACTGCTTTTCTTTTTCTTAATTACAAAGCTTGCTTAGTTGCAAAATTCTGTGAAAGGCTCTTTTCATTTTTAACCTCCATAATAGATATTAGTATATTATGTGTTTAAAGTAAGTATGGTGGTTATCTTCTATTACTTTTTAGTAGTGTGAAAATAAAATGGGTTACTTGATTGGAGTGATAGCACAGTGGGTAGAGCGTTTGCCTTGCACCCGACCGACCCAGGTTCAATTCCTCTGCCCCTCTCTGAGAGCCGGGCAAGCTACCAAGAGTATCTCACCTGCACGGCAAAGCCTGGCAAGCTACCCGTGACGTATTCAATATGCCAAAAACAGTAACCAGTCTCACAATGGAGACATTACTGGGCCCACTCGAGCAAATCGATGAACAATGGGAGGACAGTGCTACAGTGCTACTTGATCAAACGTAAATTAATAAAAGCGTAAATATTAGAAGTAAATAAATTTATCTGAAGAAATTTGCTTAGAGAGATTTGAGAGGAGAGAGCGAGAGTTTGTGTTCAAGGGAAAATAGCTTCTCCAGGTGGGGATGAAGCCAAAGTCCACATCAGCGCTGTGGGCTAATCTTCATGGTGGGGAATGAGCCTGTTTTCCTATGTTTACATGTATACCTGTAGCTTGGGAGGATTTACGATTCAAGAAGAGGTCTACATACAACATGGGATTATTCTTATACTTAGATTAGCCAATAAATGAGTCCTCCTTCCACTCCCTCAATTTTTCAGGGTCATCCTAAAGTGTGTGAAAAACTAAAGGCTCTTATGGTTGAATGGACAGATGAATTTAAGAATGATCCACAGCTTAGTCTAATATCAGCAATGATAAAGAACCTTAAGGAGCAAGGAGTTACATTTCCAGCCATTGGGTCCCAGGTAATTTGTAAAAAAGTTAATATGCTATTGTCTTTCAAAATAAGTTTACTTGAATTTTTCTTTCTCCCCTGCTTTCAAAACCAGGTTTTGAGATAAAATAGTAAAAACTGCTATTCAGAGGAATGTTTGTTGTTATAATAATATATTTTAAATTGCTGAAAAATATAGTGTGAAACATTAATGAGTACCAGCTTCCAGTTCTTATCTCCTTTTTAAAATGAAATGAGGAGGAGGGGTGCTGGAGCCATAGTACAGTTGGGAAGATGCGTGCCTTGATGCGGCTGACCTGGTTCAGTTCCCAGCACCATCAGGAGTGATACCTGTGTGAAGAGCCAGGAGCAAGCCCTGAGCATCTCCAAAAATTTTTTTTTCCCCTTTTAGCTTTTGGGCTACACCTGTCTGTTCAGGGTTTACTCCTGGCTCTGTGCTCAGGGATCCTCTGGTGCCGAGATAACATATAGTACCTGAGGCTCACCAGAACCAAAGAAGTGCTTGCGAGGATCTAACTCAGGGCCTTGCATATGTTTGGCGTGTGTTCTATCACTTGAACCATCTCCTTATCTCCTTTTCTCCTTTATAAGTAAGTTGAAAATCCTGCAATTAAAAAAAATTTTATTTTATGTAGTTTTTCTAATAAGGGTAAGTTGTTTTTTAAGTGTTCTTAATGCTCTTTTTTTTTCTGCAAAGAATGACAACTCAAAAATCTAAGGATGATAATTTTTATTTTATTTTATTTGGATTTTTTGAGTCACACCCAGTGATGCTCAGAGGTTACTCCTGACTCTGCACTCGGGAATTACTCCTGGCAGTGCTCAGGGGACCATATGGGATGCTGGGAATTGAACCTGGGTTGGCTACGTGCAAGGCAAACGCCCTACCTGCTTTGCTATCGCTCCAGTCCCTAATTTTGATATTAAAGATGAAATCATTTGATTTATCTGAGTTAAAAATGGGAAGGAGACATAATGGACCAGTGGCAAGAGACGCACTTGAAGCATCTTTTTCTTTAGTACGAACTGATAACTTTTTCTAACCCTAACCCTAAAATACGACTTTGAAATGCTTAACTTTCTGGTGCTGGAGCAATAGTTCCACAAGCTGGGTGCTTGCTTTGCACAGGGCAGGCCTGGGGTCAATCCCTGAGCACACCTGGATCAACCCCTGAGCATAAAATTATGAATAACCCCCAGTCTTGCTGTGTGTGACCCCAGAACAAAACCAGAAAAGCTTCACTTTTCTATCCAAAAAAAAAGTTATTTTATTGAGATAATTACTTACAAGACTGAAAATGTTGGTCAGTTTCAGGGGTATGATGTGACCAGGTTGTGCCCAGTCCCAAAGTGCCAATATTCTGCTGCCACTCTCCATGGGACCATTCCTGTCCTGTGCCCCTCACCCTCAGCTCTGAGCGTGTGCAGACAGAGCACCCAAGGAGTTCTCAGAGCACAGGGTCTGTTCTTCAGCAAACATTTTAATTTACTTGATGGGATAAATCTAGTGTCATGGAAAATAAATGAAAAGCCTTCTCTCTGTTCTGCTAGTCATGTGGGATGAAAATATATGGCCGTTTTCTTTGTTGTCATTTCCAGCTCTGTGGCTCCGTGGAGTTGCAGTAAGGGCACAGACTCTTACCTGGCAGAATTGAATTTGGAATTTTGACCACTTAAAGGAATCATGCAGGCTACCTTTTTATATGTACCTGTGTTTTCTTCCCAAGACACTTCCACTTTATCCAAGTGCTCTTGTTTTTTAAAAAAAAATAAGTTTTGATTTTATTATCCAAGTACTCTTGAGATGTAAATTCCCCAAATATATTTGGAACATTTTAAAACTTCTGGTTTCAGTTGTTTTCTAACCATTTCCTGATCTCTAGCTCTGTTCTTTCTTTGATTTTCAAACTGCTTTTGAGTTTTATCTGTTTATCCAAAGGTAGCAGAGCTTTGTGCTTTGTGCTTGGACCACTGTTCTAAGTTCGAATTGCTCTCGTCATCTCTGCTCCTCTAGTCTGACTTCTGGGTGGAATGTGCTAGAGTTTGGACTTCTTTCTATTTCAGAAACCTGTGCTAGATTGATGAGAAGAGTCTTGTTAAGTTTATAGATTTGGAATATTGGAGAACAGTATTCAAATCCTCTGCTGATTTTGTGTGTGTATATGTGTGTGTGTGTTAGGCTGCAGAACAAGCAAAAGCAAGTCCAGCTCTGGCAGCCAAGGATCCTGGTACTGTGGCTAACAAAAAGGAAGAAGAAGATTTAGCAAAAGGTGCGTTTTAGGGTCTCTGATGGTGAGATGAAGTTAATTCTCTGACTTCATTTTATTCCCACCGATAGAAGCTGAAATGTACTCTGTTCCTTGTGTCAGTGTCTTTATTCTCCTCCTCAGGGACAACTTTATTCTCCTCCTCAGGGAATGTGTTTTCTCATATAATTTTTACTATACTGTTTACCTGTAACAATAAGTACATTATTCAACACATTTTTTTCATAAATTAGTTATACTCTAGATACCACTGCCAGTTGTTTCTTTGAATATGTTCGAGATTTATTCATAAATTTATTTAACTTTCTTGTACAATTCACTTAACATTCAATATGCTAATGTATAATTTATCTCCTAATGGAGACTTGAGTTTTCTGGTTTTTCTAAAACTAAAGTAAGTATGCTGTGTTAAATATCCTTTATCATATTCTTTAGTACTTATGTATATTGTTATCTTATTTGTGTTGGTTCATAGGCAACTAGCTACTTCAGTTTTGCTAGATGATTTGTTTTCATCTTCCATCAGCATTGTAGGAAAGCTCTTACAGGTAATAAAAAAATCTGGCAGAACTTGGTGTTATTAGTTTGTGACCTTGGTAGGTTTGTAATTATGTCCAATTATTTTGTTCCTGTTTTCCTTAGGTTAAGCCCTTTTCTGCACGTTTATTTGCTGTTCTTATTGTGTTCTTATTTCTGGATTGATGCTCAGGGTCACTCCCCTGGGGTGCTTAGAGGACCATGAGATGTCAGGGATTGAACTTGGGTCCCAAAGCATGAGCTTCAGCCCTTGGAGATGTCTGCCTGGCCCGTTTCTGAGTTCAAAGGCAATATATAGAAAAATCTTAACCTGGGATATTAATCCTTTGTGTGTTAAATTGTTATAGATGTATTCTGTTGGTTTTGGTTTATACATAATTAAAGTTTATGAAGCAGCTTCAAAAATTTGCTTTTTTGATATACTCGAAATATTTAGCTTTCCTGTTGGAATTTTGGCTTTTGGGTCTTAAGATGTTTTTCCTTTCACAATTCTAAAAGAAATTCAGCTTAAGTGTGTGTGTGTGTGTGTGTGTGTGTGTGTGTGTACATTATATATATATATATATATATAGTTTGTTTGTGGTTGTTGGTTGTTTATTGAGGACCACACCCTAATGTGCTCAGGACTTACTTCTGGCTCTGTGATTCCACTGAGGAATCTCAGTGATTCCACTGAGGAATCACTCTCAGTGGGCCTCGGATCCATATTAGAGATTAAACCCAGGTCGGCCACATGCAAGGCGAGCACTTTAATCTGTATGTTTTCTCTCCGGCCCCAATGTTGGAAAGTTTCAGTTTCCTATTAGGTCATTTATTATTCCCAAACAGAGAACATTCTGAATTGGTTGAAAACAGGATAATTGGTATGCCCAGATTGCATTGTGGAGCCTAGTGATGGCCTGCAGTGAAGTGGACATTAGAAGAGACATTTGTAATTATTTTAGGGAATTTGTTAGGTGGGCACTGACTGTAGTTCCAATTCTCATTCTAAGTATTTCCATACTTTTAAAACAATAAAATACAATTTCTCAGATACTACCTTCTGATTTACTAATTCCCAGTTTCCCAGTGAAGCATTGGGTAACCTAAGCTATAAGAATATGCAAAATAGGGGCTGGAGCAATGGCACAGCGGGTAGGGTATTTGCCTTGCATGCAGCCAACCCAGGTTCGATTCCCAGCATCCCATATGGTTCCCTGAGCATTGCCAGCGGTAATTCCTGAGTGCAGAGCCAGGAGTAATCCCTGTGCATTGCCAGGTGTGACCCAAAAAGCCAAAAAATATATATATACACAAAATAAAAGAAAGAAAATGTAAAATGTAGGAAATAAAAAAATGAAAAATAGAGTTTTTAAAACCTTCTTATTTTTCTGAACTTTAAGTTAAGAATGCATCAGAAAAATTCATGAAATCATTCTTTCTCAGGTCAGTTTCTAGTTTCCAAACAGGTAAAATTGTATTTTACCTTCATGTCTTTTTGTACTTTTTTAACCTCTTGGATATATTAACATTTTAGATTTTCTAAAATTCGCTGTTTTCCAGCCATTGAGTTGTCTCTGAAAGAACAAAGGCAGCAATCAACCACGCTTTCCGCTTTGTATCCCAGTACGTCCAATCTCTTAACTAACCACCAACATGAAGGCCGAAAAGTTCGTGCTATCTATGACTTTGAAGCTGCTGAAGATAACGAACTTACTTTTAAGGCTGGAGAAATTATTACAGTTCTTGATGACAGGTGATGGTTAATATTAAATTGAAAATTCATATGAAAATAATATAGTTTTCTATGTTGCATATTCTTGTTGAATCCTACTGGCATATGTAGTTAAAAATATACCAACTCAGATATTTTCTCTTTATGGCAGTTGACTGATTGCTTGTGTCAGACTGTCTGTATTCTTTCTCTGTAGTTTAATTTTTTTTCTCATTTATTCTTTAATTTGTTTTTTATTTGCTGTGGAGGTTTAAATACATCCATTTGTTTTTTTTTTTTCAGCTAATAAGAGTAATAAAGTTAAGGATGTAGAAAATACTTCGAAAGTATATGAACTTATAAACAATACGTAGTAAGTTGAGGCTGTTCTTTACATATAACAGGATGTCTGGTACAAATTTATATAAATGTACGCTATCAGAGGGGAATTAATATGGTGCTTTTTTACTTTGAAAACCACGGTTTATTTTCTTAAAAGTTATTAATATTTTTTCTGATAATGAATTAGTAAAATTTGCTTGTGATTTTAAAAAACTAATAGACTTAAGGCTGTTTCTGTAGGATCACGCTTGTATTCAGGCATGTTTGTGTGATCCTATATTACTTTTTGTGTGTTTTGGGCCATACCTCGTGAGGCTCTGTGGTTTATCTCAGCTTGGTGATCTGGGATTGCTCCCGGTGGTGCTCCAGGGATCATGAGATGTTGGTTATTGAGCCCGTCCTCCTGTGTGCAAAGCATGCTCCAGCCTTTAGAACCATCTGCTGACTTCTTCATGGTTTTTTTTTTTTCTTTTTGGGTCACACCTGGCGATGTTCAGGGGTTACTCCTGGCTCTACACTCAGGAATTACTCCTGGAAGTGCTCAGTGGGGCCATATGAGATGCTGAGAATCGAACCCGGGTTGGCCGCTTGCAAGGCAAACGCCCCTGCTGTGCTATCGCTCCAGACCCTCTACATGTTTTCTTAAGTGGAAAAAAATAGAGCAGAGTTTGAGCTAGAAATGAACAAAACACTGTTCATTTTTTTTTTTTTTTTTTCAGAAAATTCTGAGACCAGTCTAGCTTTTCCTCTACAAAGCATGCCACGAATGCAGTGTGTGTTAGGAACTGTGGTACAGGGAGTGTATTGTGCTAAAAATGATGTATTCAGTCATGTGCTCTCTTTGGGGATGAACCTGCTAATATGCAACAGAAATAGCACTGATGTAACAGGGGAGATCTGGATTGAGAGAGCCTCGGTGTATCTTGCTTAAGCAAAAGCTTCTTACTTTGGTTGTGGAGAGTTTGCAGCTTTTTCTTTAAAAAGAAAAAGAAAAAATATAGATCCTCAGTGCATTTGCCAGTCTTCCAAAAGTTAAAGAACTGTGTATTTAATAGTGTGTGATCATCGCTGATGCTTCATTTTTATTGTCACTGTGACTGTCCTCCTGTTGTTCATTGATTTGCTCGAGTGGGCCCAGTAACGTCTCCATTTTGAGACTTGTTGTTACTGTGTTTGGCATATTAAATACGTCACCGGTAGCTTGCCAGGCTTTGCCATGTGGGCAAGATACTCTCAGTAGCTTGCCGGGCTCTCCAAGAGGGGCAGAGGAATTGAGCCCGGCTCGGCCAGGCTGGCTACACACAAGGCAAACGCCCTGCCACTAAATTTGTAGCCTCTTTGGGTTGTTGTGAGATTCAGTTCTAGTAATAAAGTATGCTCAGCTCTCTAAAAGATACAGGTTTTATTGAATAAGACCAGTAGAGTAAAGCATTCTGTTTGGTTTTTTACAGTGATCCCAATTGGTGGAAGGGCGAAACCCATCAAAGCATGGGGTTATTTCCTTCTAATTTTGTGACTGCAGATCTCACTGCTGAACCAGAAATGAGTAAGTATTTTCTAGTCTCTGAATAATCCTTAATCCCATTAATGAAAATGAAATAAAGCCAAAGTTTTGGTCCAGAGACTTAAATATTGTCGCTTATTACAGGTGCAGCGCCTGCGCAGTAGATTACTTAGAAGACTTGTAGTTCACTCTAGGTCATGTAAGTGGGAACTAGGACCATAGTGAGTTAGCAGAGTCATTTAAGAATTGAAATAATTTTCTAAGATTATCTTGAGATCAACTATACTTATATAAATATTTCTCATATGCATGTATGTATATATACAGTTCTTCATATACATATGCACTATAGCACTGCACTATCGTCCTGTTGTTCATCAATTTGCTCAAGTGTGCCCAGTAACGTCTCCATTGTGAGATTTGTTGTTACTGTGTTTGGCATATCAAATATGTCACGGATAGCTTGCCAGGCTTTGCCATTCAGGTGAGATACTCTCAGCAGCTTGCTCGGCTCTCCGAGAGGGGTAGAGGAATGGAACCTGGGTTGGCCCGGCTGGCCACATGCAAGGCAAATGCCCTACCCACTGTGCTATCGCTCCAGCCCATACATAGGCAGTTACAAAAATATAGATTAAGAAGTATTATGGATTTTATATGTTATGTGTTTTCATTGCTGTCAGTTGATGAAAGCATTAAGAATGCTGTGCAACCTCATTGATACTTCTTCCTAGTCAAAGATTGCACCTATCTCTTGTGTAGCCCAAAATTTGGAAGCAGTGACATCTAAGCATCATAAATGGTTTTCCTGGGTCCTCATATTAGGTATTCAGAAGAAGTCAGTCACTGGTCAATAATTCAGTTTTAGTTTTGTTTCTGAGAGTTTGCTGGCTAGGAGAGAAACTAGAAAGTGGGCCAAGGAGGAGGGTAAGGACTGCAGGAGATACCGTCACAGTATCTTATCAAGGCTCGGTATATAGTTCACTCTCTCTACAAATTGCTATATGTAAATGAATTCATGTAATAATTTTGAGACATCAAGAAAATTTGTTCATATCTTTTAAGAAACTATGCTGTAGTCTGTGCTATAGAAAGGTTTATATAATTAAAATGTGTAGAAATTTAAGATTTTCTTTAATAATGTGACCATCTACAGCTAGGCAAATTATGTCATCTTTCTGCAGTGCCAGAGAGAAGGAGTCAAAGAAAATCATGAACTATAGGATGCTTATAATTTGATCTTTTAATTCATAAGAATTTTAAGAAAAAAATCTTTATTGAGGAGAGATTGTTTAGCAGATAGAGCACTCGCCTTGCACACAGCCAGCCTGGGTTCAATCCTCATTGCCTTGTGTAGTCCCCCGAGCACAGAGCCAGGAGTAAGCCCTGAGCTGATCATGGCCCACCACTCCACCCCTCAACGAAAGAAGAAGGAAGGAATGAGCTTTGGGGCGGAACAGACCATGGGAGATGCTGAGCTCCTGCTTTTTATGCAGGAGGCCTGGATTTGATCTCAGCACGAACAAACCCACTTATAGAATCTCAGACTAGTCCTAGTAACTGTGGTATGGCGAAGAACAGCAACATACAGGGAGTCTTGCAGTTACAGGCTCTTGCCTTTGGTCATCTTAATGTACCCAGCACTACCAAATACTGAGTCTCGGGTGAATATAGATTACTTATACAATAAATATTTATAAAGTGTTAGAAATGACGATCAACAATTAAGAGTTACTTTTCTTTAAAGACCTGATAACACTTCTATTTTAGAAGACTTTATTTTACTTCTTTTATTATTTGAGGGTTTGTTTGGATTTTTTTTTTTCTTTTTGTCCTTTTGGAGTCATACCCGGCGATGCTCAGGGGGTTACTCCTGGCTCTGCACTCAAGAATTTCTCCTGGCCGTGCTCTGGGGAGCTATGGGATGCCGGGAATTGAACCCAAGGTCGACCATGTGCAAGGCAAACACTCTCCCCTCTATATTATCACCCCGCCCCCAGGAGAAGACTTCGGCAACAGTGAAGGAGCCATTACAGATCTTTTGTCAAACCAGAGTTCTCTCATAGTTAGTGTCAGATTGTTTTGTTTCATGAACAGAAATGATTCCTGATTCCCATTCCTTTGATTCCTTTTTTTAGATTGTTGAAGCTTGTTTAAAGGGAGCACATATTTTGCTGACTTTTAACCCTCATGATTTTTTTCGTTATTACTATGTTTTCAAGGGTTTGGGTACCCCATTTTCTTCCCCTGTAGTAAGCTGTTGGAAATGGTAGAATTGTCTTAGACTTGTAGTTCACTCTAGGTCATGTAAGTGGGAACTAGGACCATAGTGAGTTAGTAGACCGTAGTGATTCTCAGGCTTGGAAAATGAGTGCTAGCACCGTCCTCACAGCATTGCCCACTTAATGTGATAGGTGAATTGGTATCCTGCTTAGTGTGTTTATATTTTGGAGATGCAGTAGAACAATGTGAAAACGCTTTCTCTTACATGCACACATATGTACATATTCACTCTCACAGGTGCTTACACACACATCCTTCCATAGTCACAGTACTAGTCCCGATGAGAGGAAGGGCTGCTTTCTTCATTGCGGGCAGCTGTCCAGCTGTGAAGACTGTTTGTTCTCTATGGCTCACAGCCAATTTGGCACTGTCCCGGCTTTCTACTTTGAGTAGCTCAAAGTATCCAGAGGTAAAGGTACCTGGAGCAGATATCTTTTCCCCACCCCCATGGGAAAGGAAATCAACTATTTTTTTTTTGTATGTAGAATTTTGCTTTATGATAACTCTAATGGAATGAATATATTTCATATGTTGGTAATAAAAGTATTTCTATTTTATATGCAAGTGCACAACACATAATTATAACTGATTTAATTTCTCATTCTCAGGGGAAAACTACAGGCCGGATTTTATAGTGCGGGACTAGGAGAGTCAGATAGATTGCCATTCAGGCCCCGGCATTGTAATACATTATCTTTATCTTGTGTAAGAGGTTTAAATGTTTAGTCTCATTATAAGATGTGTATTTCTCATCAAATTATTTTCGAGATTCATTGGAGAAACTTTAATATTCCATTGAGAATCTTTACTTTTTACTTGGGGGGTTTGGGACCGCACCTGTTTGTGCTCAGGAGTGACTATTCATGGGGCTCGGGGGACCATGTATGGTGTTGGAGATCAAACCAGGGTCAGCTGCATGCCAGGCAAGCTCCTAACCTTCTCTACTCTCGTTGTCCACCAAGCATATCTAATAATAGATTAAAAGATACTCTTTACCTTTCGTTCTTCGCCTCTGATTCCCTTTTCCATCTGACTCTTGGGCCAGAGAGATAGCTTCGCGGACTGAGCACATGCTTCCTGGAGGAGGCTTGTCCAGTCTTGGCCCCGTGACTCCCAAGCACCACTGGGAGTATCCCTTATGGGTGCTGTGTGTGGCCCCAAAACGGGATTTTATAAATGTGGATTGACATATTGATACAAGGTGGACAGAGCAGGAGGGAAGTTAGTTACTTCATTGAAAAATGTTATTTCATTTATTTATTTTGGTTTTGGGGGTACATCTGGTAGTGCTCAGATCCTTCTGCCTCTGTGCTTATGTTAGTGCTCAGGGCTCCAGCTGGGATTAAAGCAAGGCCTTCAGTCTGCTGAGCTGTGTCCCTAGCTCAGAAATTTATTCCTTTCAAAGCATGTCCATCTTGGGCCTACGGGGATAGAACAGTGCTGTGGGCTCAGGCCTTGCCAGTGGCCAGCCTGGTGCCATCCCCAGCATCACGCAGCCTCCTAAGTATTTCTGAGTGTATCCCCATAGGCTCCTGAGCTGAGCAAGGTGTGCCCTGCTGCCTCCTGGCACTACCGCTTCCTGGGGCTCCAGTGCTGAGCCACCCGGTTGGCTGAGCCTCATGGGAGAGAGTCCCCCAGCCCCCTGGGCACTGCTTGGAGTTCCCTTCCCATAAAAGGTTATACTCTTTTGGACACATTTAATTGCTATGTTGTAATCCTGTATTAATGTTGTTTTGAATCATTTAAAACAACATGGTGGGCCAGAGAGATAGTACAACGGATAGGGCCTTGCACGTGGCCGACCTGGGCTTAATCCCCAGCATCCCAAGTGCCGCCAGGAGTAATTCCTGAGTGCAGAGCCAGGAGTACCCCTGAGCATTGCCGGGTGTGGCCCCAAAAACATGCATGCATGCTTCCATGCATGCATACATACGTACGTACATACATACATACATACATAAACAAACATGGTTTGGGTTGAACAAAGGGAATAGGTGTTCCTTACTCTTTTCCACTTTTTGTTGTGCAGACCGATCCATGGAAGACTACAGAATGACTTAGTGGAAAATTCATATCCCTGCTGAGACTGCTTGCAAAGTTCTTTACTAACCTGGCATCCTCTTAGTAAAAATCTGAATGCTGTACTGGAGAACATGACAGGGAAATTAGCTTGGTCTATCGAATGAAAACTTTTCTTTGAAGGATATAATTTTAAAAGATGGTTTATTTCAAATTGCTGCATTTATTTTTCTCATTATAAAACTTTGTCTTTTGTCTATAGTTTACTAAATTCTCATGTAGTAGGTGACTAAACTTTGAAAACATTTCTGGTTTTAGTGAAATACCTTTTTTGGAAGACAAAATCTTTAGAAGATAAATTTAAGATAACCCTTGATGTTTATTTTAAGAAAAAGATAAATATTACCTATTTTACAGTTAAAACAGAGAAGAAGACGGTACAATTCAGTGATGAAGTTCAGGTAGAAACAATAGAGCCAGAACCAGAACAAGCCTATATAGATGAAGTAAGTAATTTCTTTGGTGAGAACTTTTTAGTGAAGTTGAAATTTTATTGTCTGTTTTCCTTAAGAATGTCTGTTACTTGACTGACACATGCACCTCTTATAAAAACTCAAAGAGTAGATGAGGTAGAAATTCTCCCTGAAACAACTTTCTCTGTAGTTCCTGGGGGGGGGGGGGGGTGGGGATTTCTTATCTAGTTATGTATATGTATGTGTGTGTATGTGTATATATATATATATATATCTGTATGTATATACATGTATGTATATATGAGATACATACAGCTATGCTAAATATACTAAATAATGTATCTAACCAGTACTTAGAATTTGCTTAGTATTTTTGTAAAATGGGTTTACCATGATTTAATTATTCTGTTTTGTTGGTTGTTTCCAGTTTTCTTTATGAATTTTTTTTTGTTGTTGCTGCAGTCACCAGTGATATATGCTTACATAAAAGAATGTGACTTTTCAAGTGTCAGTATTGAACTTTCTGGGAAGTCTGTCCTTTGTGACATTTTGAAATTAACAATGAAAAGTGAGCTCTTATCTTTAAATTTTATGCAGGGTTTTCTAGGTTTTCAGCCTTACTGGGATTCAGAAGGGAAGAGGTGGAGAGTGCTCTTTCAAAGAGACATTGTGGAAGTTTGTGCTAAGGGCCAAGATGCCCGGCTAGGTCAGGAAAGTTATGTTCGACTGTTTGTAGTACATTAAGCAAAAACTATATTAGTGCCCGGCTGTTGGGCTGTTTAGAAACCTTTTTTTCCTCTGATAGTTGGTGGTTTCATTCAGGATACCATATTCTGTATTCTGTAAATCAACAAACAAACATTACTCATGTGGTCCTTAACCCATAAATCTGATCTGCCCCCATTTTTTTATAGGCAAACTTATGATGCCTTTATTATTTTTGATATTTCAGCTTGTGTGTTCTTTACGTTGAAAAGAGCTATCTATTTCAAAGTTTGATAGTTCAGTTATCAGGAGTGCATGCTTTGTGTGCACTGGGAAGGGAGCGGTAGTTGGAAGGGAGCGGTAGCAGTGGTCCCCTGAGTCTATTGAGGGTGAGTGACCCCTGGTGGTCCTCAGCACCATAGGGTCTGAGTAGCTCTGCATCCTCCAGCTCTAGCATTGGCCAAACTGACCCGGTTGGCTGCATATTATAGGGAGTAGTCCCCACACTTCCTGAGCACTGAGAACTGTACACTGCTTGGAAGACCCCATCTATAATTTTTCATTTAAAATATTTTTACATACCTGTAAAAATATTACATACCTGTTACATCCACCAACTGCCGTGTAACCCCAGCAACGGCCAGGATCCAGAGATTATCACACTCAGCTCCCGGGAGAGAAAAAGGCAGAGTCTTCTACCCTGTGCCTGACTGTCCTCACCAGGGCCCAACAGCTGAAGACCTCTGGGCCCCAGCCAAGGCCATGCTGGGACCACTCTCCCCACACTTGGATGAGCCTCATGCATAAAAGAACTGGCAGAGGAACCCAGGTGTGTGGGACCTGGGGCTGAGATCTCCAAACCTGCATGGTTTGGGACTGGACCTGCCAGTAGCTAGACAGTTACACCCACCAACTGCCATGTAACCCCAACAATGGCCAGGATCCAGAGATTATCACACTCAGCTCCCGGAAGCGCGCGGCTGCATTTGTGGCCGCGCGACATCTTATCATCTCATTCCTACTTTGGACAAACTGGCAGGCTACCGAATGTAACCTGCCCACACGGCAGAGTCTGGCAAACTCCCCGTGGCGTACCCAATATGCCAAATATCAGTAACAATGAAGGGTCTCATTCTCCTAACTCTGAAAGAGCCTTGAATATGACACTTTTTTAAAAAATCTCAGGGCTAGGATGAAGGAGACGTTACTGGGGCCTGCTCGAGGCAATCGATGAATAACAGGATGGTTGTGATTGGTTGTGATTGTGTTTAATATTCATGTCAATGAAGGATGAATCTCAACTATTTTCCATCTGTCCGAAACAGGGTTATAATTTTTGCTTTAAGCAACCTAGAATAAATTACTTTGTAATTTGTAATCTTTAAATTATTTACTGTGCATACTCATGTTGGGTTGGAGCGATAGCACAGTGGGTAGGGCATTTGCCTTGCACGCAGTCAACATGGCCGATGCGAGTTTGATTCTCTGCCCCTATCGGAGAGCCCGGCAAGCTACCGAGAGTATCTCACCCACACGGCAAAGCCTGGCAAGCTACTCATGGTGTATTCAATATGCTAAACACATTAACAGGAAGTCTCAAACTGGAGACGTTACTGGGCCCGCTCGAGCATAGTCATGTTTAGTAGCATGACCATTAAAGCAGTGTATAATTATGATAGTGGTTTTCTTTGGTACAATGGTTCATATTTTGATTTTTAGAAGCACATTTAAATACACATTTGGTTTTATGAAGTATAAATACGATTATGAAATGATAGTTTCATTAGTTCCATTGGAGTTAGAACCAGAGATTCTAAAATAGACCCAAGTCATTGCCGGTGAGATAATGTCCAGTCTTCCCACATAGAAGAAACAGATGAACCCATAGATTTTTCTTTCTTTTGTGATGAACTGAAACATGAGCAGAAAGAAAGTACAAATAAATGAATTCTTATGGTTCAGGAGAACAGCGTTAGTCTGCTGAGCTGTGCCTTACTGAATAGCTGCTTTTTTCTCGGTGGAGAAGCACCAACTCCATGGTTAGCCATAAGTAATGCCATCTTGAGAGGCTCCATGTTAAGGCTGCCCTGGTCGCTCCCAAACAGAGTGATACAGTGAATATGACCGGAGAGGTGGAGAAACTTTCCATTGTAGACTGGAATGTGTCTTCTCAGAGTTTTAAGAGTAGCTCTGCTAGCAGTTTTTAAAATGTGTAGATAGAGCTTTTATAGACTTTGACTCAAGCCTGTTCCAATAGCTGGCCCTAAATAATTTTATATTATTTGTAATGAATAATTCGCTAAAAATGACCCAAAAAGGTATCCTTAGAAGAAAGAGTCTGCAGATGTTGTATCTCACCTTGAAGCCATTAAACCCTTGAAGAGGTTTTGACTTTCTGTGATACTAAACATGAGTACCTAGTGCATCAAAGCAAAAGTAGAATCTTCAGAAGTGAATTATGAAAGTTCTCTTTCCATAAGCCAGGCCGGTTTGGTAGGTGATTGCTATTTCTCATACAAGCTCCATAATTCCCGCAGGATAAAATGGACCAGTTGTTACAGATGCTGCAGAGTGCGGACCCCAGTGATGACCAGCCCGATCTTCCAGAGTTGCTGCATCTTGAAGGTAATGCCGACTTTCCATTAACTTTGCAAATGAGTGATAATCAGAGGTTACATCTAGCCTTCTGTTGCAGAATCAGTGGATATTTACATAAAATGAAGAGTAATATGCTAATATTTCTCTCTTCTGACTCAGTCTCAGTTTTAATTGCAATTGGTAAATTTTGAATTCTTAGATTTTTCTCTTGAAATTTAATATTTTATTAAACATTTTAGAAACTGGGTTTTTTCCATTTGCGGTATCTCTGCTTTACTTTCATTAGCCACCACCTTTTTGTTTTGTTAGATCACACCTGGGGGTGCTAATGGGCTTTTCCTGGCAGCATGTGGCGCTGAGGATCAAACCTAGCCTTTTGCGCTCAAAGCATGTGCTCAGCCCATTCAACCATCTTTTAGTGTCACCATCGTTAAGATAATCTTAATTTAAAAAAATCAATCTTGGGACAGGGAGATTGTAAGCACACAGGGCACTTCCCTTGCATACAGCTCACCCAGGCTTGATTCCCCAGAACCACATATGGTCCCCTGCGCACCATCAGGAGTGATTCCTGAGCACTACCATGTGTGACCCAAACCCCCACCACACCAAAGGAAAAAATGAATCTTGGGTTCTATGGATAAAGTTAATGTAAATATATTCCTTCAAATTAGATCCCCTATGTCTTATATAAATATGTTTAAAACGTTCTCCTTTGCTGCATTTTCCTAAATTTCATTAAATCCTTTCATTTTAGCAATGTGTCACCAGATGGGACCTCTCATTGATGAAAAGCTGGAAGATATTGATAGGTAAAAGAAAATGTGCTGCGTTTATACGTGTCCCCCTCCCCAACTTCTCTCTAAACTGCATGATGGGATAGAGTCAGCCTGTCTTTCCTTCTCCCTCCCTCTCTCCCTCCCTTCCTCCCTCCTTCCCCTTTCTGCACGTGTTTCCCCTCTCTTCCATGGGCTGACTTGTGGTGTGTGTTCAAGGGTTATCTGCATTCCATCGATCAAACAGATCAGCCTTGTGCAAAGCAAGTGCCTTACCTGCTGCTCTGTCTCTTGGCCTCCCCTCCCTCTCATTTTAAACATAAATGAGTGTCTCTTTCAGTTTTCTACTAGATGTGGGGAATAAAATTAGACCTGTTCTTTTTCGTTTCTTAAAGTGAGAATTTTTCTGGCCTTTACTTCAATCTTTTTTCAAAATAAAGGTAAAATATTGTAATTATATATTTGCTATAATGGCAATGCTAGAAGCTGTAAAAGACCAATCTGTTACCACTGCCTAGGAAACCTAGATATTTTGAGGTAAAAACAAGTAGAGTAAGTTAGAACTTCATCAGTGCTAAAAATACATGGTGTTTTCTGTCTTTAGGATAGAATTTTAATATTCCCCACTTAGATCAATTTTGCTTTTACCATTGTTGTACAGTTTCTAATATTGTTTCATTTGAATCTTTAATAGTATTTCTAATGATTGTATTCTATTTCAGGAAACATTCAGAACTCTCAGAGCTTAATGTCAAAGTGATGGAGGCACTTTCCTTATATACCAAGTTAATGAATGAAGACCCCATGTATTCCATGTATGCAAAATTGCAGAATCAGCAGTATTACATGCAGCCCTCTGGAGTTTCTGGTTCTCAGGTAAGATGGCAAATCCTTGATATATCATTTATAATTCTCCAGTATAGTAGACATTATTTAGAATAACTGTGTAAATGAAGTATACACACACATACACATGTACGCATGTAATATATGGCTAAGCATGCAACGTATGCTAGTTTATATCAGTAGGAATTTTATATTTGTTTATTAAGTTCTAGAATTGGCACCAACCCCAGCAGTGCTGGGTGGCCTGAGGCTTTCTTGATTTGCCAGGGTGGGTGTGGGGGCGTGTGGTGTCAGGGATGAAACTCTGGACTTCAGTATGCTAAGCCTGTGCTTTGCCAATTTAGTTATTTCCCTAGTTCTCAATAATCATTTCAAAGAATTGTTTCCCATAGGGGTGTGCATCAGAACGATTCATCAGGCTTTGGAATGAAATAACAGGAGCTAGGCGGTAGTGAGGGTTAGAGCCTCTCCAGCAGGCCCCTTGGCATGAGTTCCACCTCCAGCACCTTGTGGTCGCCTAGAATGTTTGAGTCTGAGCAGCACAGAATCCCTCGGGGCCTTGTACTGAACCAACAGGCTCATTTGGCCAGGAATGGCTGATGGGCCCTTCGCGCAGAAATACTACTGAAAATTAAAAAGGAGAAATATTAAAATAATATTATAATAAATAGAAGAATATAATCTAAAAATAAAAGAAAAGCACAAAAAATATTAAAATAATAAAATATTAGCACTGTCATCCCGTTGTTCATCGATTTGCTCGAGCGGGCACGAGTAAACATCTCCATCGTTACTGTTTTTGGCATATTGAATACACCATGGCAAGCTTTCCATGCTCTGCTGCGTAGGCAGGATACTCTCAGCAGCTTGCTGGGCTCTCCGAGAGGGACGGAGGCATGCAAGGCAAATGCCTACCTGCTGTGCTCTCATTCTGGCCCAATAAAATACTATGAAATTCAAAAAATGAAATGTTTAGACACCACTACAGACCTGTTTATTTTTCAGCTTTAGAACCTTCATATATAAATTCTTTCTTTGATCTGCCATGTAAAATCTTTTTAATTTGATAAGGTCCCATTTGCCTATTTAATTTTTGTTCTTTTTGTAAATGGAGTTGAATCAGTCCATCCATCTGAGAGTTTGTCTCTGAAATCTGTTCTGTTCCAGTGATTTGAGAGTCTATTTTATTTTATTTTGGTTGTTGTTGTTTTATAATTTTATTTATTTTTTTATTGAATCACCGTGAGGTACAGTTACAGACTTAAAAACTTTCGTTCTTACATTTCAGTCATACTATGATCTAGTACCCATCCCTCTACCAGTGCCCATTCTCCACCACAAATGACCCCAGTATCCCTCCCACCACCCCTACCCTATACTCCCCACCCCGCCCCGTCTCTGTGGCAGGGCATTTCCTTTCGCCCTCTCTCCTTTTGGGTATTGTGGTTTGCAATAGAAGTATTGAGTGGCCTTCATGTTCGGTCTATAGTCTGCTTTCAGCACTCCTCTCCCATCCCAAGCAGGCTCTCTATGAACACTTTATTTGGTAATCCCTTCTCTATCTAAGCTGTCTTTTCCCCCAGCATGTGAGGCCGGCTTCCAAGCCATGGAGCAATCCTCCTGCTACTCACCTCTACTACAGAATGACTTTTTCAGAGTTGCTTTGTTCTAGACATTTAAACAATTTTACTCAGTTCTCACACCAAACCTAAGATATTAAGACTGGTACTTTGAACATCAGGTTAAAAGGTAAAGGTAAAGGCCCTCCCGTTGATCGTCGATTTGCTCGAGCGGGCCCAGTAACGTCTCCATTGGAGACTTTGTTGTTACTGTGTCTGGCATATCGAATACTCTCGGTAGCTTGCCGGGCTCTCCGAGAGGGGCGGAGGAATCGAACTCGGGTCGGCCATGTTGGCCGCTTGTAAGGCAAACGCCCTACCCGCTGTGCTATCGCTCCAGCCCTGAGCAGCAGAAGAACCCCCATATCTGCCACTTTGAACATCATTGATCTAGATATATCAGCTGTCTTTCACTTGCTTTGTGTTTTTTAAAATTTTTTATTAATTCACTGTGAGTTACAGTAACAAAAATTTCATGTTTGGACTTTGATCATACAGTCATCAAACACCCATCCCTTCACCAGTGCACATTTTCCACCATCAAAATCCCCAGTATCCCCCCCCCCCCCCTTCCTATACTTCCCCTTGCCTGTGTGGTAGACAATTTGCAAAATATTCTTTCTCTCCTTTAATTGCCTTCAATATTTTGAGACCAGTCCACCACCCCTCATACCTGCCAAAAATGTAGTTGCTAGACACAGTGTTTTGTTTTGCGTCTTACCGATATAATGTCATGCATCACTTTCATGGCTACGTGCTCTAGGAATTCTAAGATTTCAAATTAGAGTCTGAAGAAATCGCTGCAGCAAGTTGCTCAGGTCCGAGATTCGTTGTGTTTCTCTGGATCATGGCCATGTGGGAGCTTCAGTGGATGGTGGGCAGATGTAGCATCATCTCGGCGTTCCATCAGGGTCGGGGGAAGGAGGGCCCTCTCCTCCCCTGTTCCAGGAGACTTGGGATTTACTGTCACCAGTACTCGTACCTGGTGGTGCTTCTTGCTGGCTTCTTAGAAAATGGCAAACACTGCAGCTCTTAAAGGGCAGGCGGAGGGACAACGCCTGCCCCTGTCTGGAGCAGCCCAACGGAGAAGGCCTATTGCAAAGTTTTGGCCATCTCTATTGCAGGTTGCTCAGGTTTGAGATTTGTTTGTGTTTTGTCTGTTTCAGATGACTCTTATGGTTCAGCAGGAGTACTAACATAGATGATTATTGTCTTGTCTTTAGATCACTCTTTTCTTTCCTAATACCTGGTGTTCTCTTTCAAATATGTGACATGGAATGGCCTAATATAACTGAATATTGGAATATTCAATAGTGTTCCCTTACCGTGTCCTCCCCCGCCCCCCCCCCCCCCCCACACACACACACACACTGTGTGGGGACCACACCCAGCTCTGCTCATGGATTACGTTAGCCCTGGCTCTGTGCTCAGGAATTACTCCTAGGGAGTGTTGTTCTGGAGGACCATATTCTGGAAATTGAGCCAAGATCCATCTGCATATAAGGCAAGTGCATTACCCATTGTATTATCTTTTTGATCCCACAAGGATAACCATCTTTTCGCATTCTGTTTAGAAATGAAGTGCTAGAATATTAACATGGGGCTTGAGTGTTGATTCAAAGGCTGGAGTGCATGCCCTGTATGCAGGTGACCTGTACCTAGAATCCTGAACACCACCAAGTATGTGTGTATAAATATATATATATATATTTATATATATATATATATATATATATATCAAGAAGGAAGAAAGGAAGACAGGGACTGAGTGATAGTGCAGGCTGTAAGGCATTTGCCTGGCATGCAGCTGATCTGGGTTTGATCTCTTGTTACCCCATACGGTCCTCCGAGCAACCTCCAGGACTGATCCCTGAACACAGAGCCAGGAGTAAGCCCTGAGACTGCCACGTGTGGCCCTAAAACAAAAATAATTTTATTTCAATATTTGAAGATACATTTATATGTGAGATAAACATTAATGTTTAGATGAAAATAAAGTCCATAAGAAGCCCTATCAGTGAAAATTATTTTTTAAAATGCCTTTCAGGGTGTTGGGAGGATCCTCTCAGGATGGGAAAAGCATGCTGAAAGTAGACTATAGACCAGACATGATTGCCACTCAGTGCCTCTTTTGCAAACCACAACACTCAAAAGGAGAGAGAGAACAAAAGGGAATGCCCTGCCACAAAGGCAGGGGGATGGGGGTGGGAGGGATACTGGGACCCATGGTGGTAAGAAATGGGCACTGGTGGAGGGATAGGTATTTGATCATTGTATAATTGAAACCCAAGCACAAAAATTTGTAAGTCTACAACTGTACCTCATGGTGTTTCACTAATAAAAATAAAATAAAATGCCTTTCAGTAGAGTAATTTAAAAAAAATGATTCCAAGTATATAATTGTTTGGGCTTTTGCTACTCTTGTCACTGTAAAGAAATGTCCTTCCTACCCAAGTCTTTAGAACCTCTAATTGTTTTCTCCTGGTTGCCTTTTCTAGGTATATCCGGGGCCGCCTCCAAGTGGTACGTACTTGGTTGCGGGGAATGCACAGATGAGCCATCTCCAGAACTACAGCCTTCCCCCCGAGCAGCTGTCTACGCTCAGCCAAGGAGCAGTTCCACCATCTGCAAACCCGGTGCTTCCCAGCCAGCAGGCCCAGGCTTCTTACCCTAAGTAATTTGAGTAGTCACTTTTTTATTTGCTTATTTTTAAATTTTTTAAAATTATTTTTCTTTATTGAATCACTGTGAGATAGACCCTTACAAAGCTGTTCAGGATTAGATTTTAGTCATACAGTGTTCCAACACCCATCCCTCCCCCAGTGCACATTTCCCATGACCGGTGTCCTCAGGTTCCCTCCCATCCCCCTACCACCTGCCTCTATAGCAGGCTCTCTCTCTCTCTCTCTCCCCTCCCACCTCTCCTCTCTCCATCTCTTCTTGCTCTCTTATTGTCCATGATCTTCAGTAACCATAAGGATTGGATAAGGAAAACTGTGGGTCAGCGTTGTATGTGCTGTTTGTGAGGCTGTTAGAATAGGGCCGGGTGGGAGCCCTCCTGTAGCATTGTGCTAGCCAACAGCCAGTAGTGCATCGCCAGTTGGTGGGCCAGTGCTTGCCAACTTCATTAAGTCTAGAGTATTCTCTAAATACATGAGTAAATCAAGTATAATAACTCATTTATTGGTTTCCAGTAACTCATATTCAGTTTAATTTTGCCTTTATTATGTTGCTTTAGAATTTATAGTACTGGTTTGTCTCTTCAGGACAAAAAAATATTAATTTTGTCCTGTGTGAGGATTTAGTATACATTGCAGCACCATGTAATGGTTGACACGAGATAGTATACAAGAAACTACATTCCCTGGTGGTTCATGAGACAAGTAGTTGTTATGACAGGCCAGACTATTTTAAATCATTTACTTATAGAGCCATTCATCACACTGTGAAATATATAATATATATAATATGTTATAATTACATAAATTTGGGCTGAAGCGATAGCATAGTGGGTAGGGCGTTTGCCTTGCACTCGGCCGACACAGCCAACCTGAGTTCGATTCCTCTGCCCCTCTCGGAGAGCCTGGCAAGCTACCGAGAGTATCTCGCCAGCAAGGCAAAGCCTGGCAAGCTACTCGTGACGTATTCGATATGCCAAACACAGTAACAACAAGTCTCATGATGGAGACGTTACTGGGCCTGCTTGAGCAAATCGATGAACAATGGGAGGACAGTGACCGTGACATAAATTTATTTTCTGCTGAAAGCAAGTAAAACTTAGACTTTCTAGATTGGAGAGAGCGATAGTACAGTGGATAGAGCACTTGCCTTACACTTAGTGGGTTTGATTCCCAGTACCCCATATGCTACCCCGAACCCCACCAGGTATGATCCCTGGGCATAAAGCCAGGAGGAAGTTCTGAGTCCTTTTGGGTATGGCCCCCAAACATACAAAAACAAAATAAATGAAAGTTAGACTCTCAGAGTTCACCAGGGTGTGATTCTAGAATTGGTAATATTCTGACTCAAAACACTTTTTGTGTTTGGGGGTGCAATTTTTTAGTGGGGGGTGGAGGGCGTTGTTTGGGACCCATGCTCAGTGGTTCTGAGAGTTTACTCCTGGCTGTGCTCAGGGACAGTTTCTACAAAACTATTCTTGGTGGTGAAATTACCTAGTAAAAGTCCCAAATTCCCCTCCTATATTACTCATCCTGAAATAGTCATGCATGAGTACTCACTGGAAGCAGTACCTTTCCCCAAATGCTGTGTCATGGTGTCAAAGTATGCTTTAGTTTTTATGACTAGAGACTGCTTGGGACCCATTCTTAGGATCCTGAGAGATTATTTTTGTAAATGAGGTCATTTGTCAGTAGGTGCTTTGCCTGCATGTTTTGTAGAGCTCTGACCTCATATTGCTTCTCTTGGATTACTCTGGGTATTCTACCTGAGGATAGAATCCCGGGCTGGGGCTGCCTGACTCTACCCAGACACAGTAGCTATTACCTGTCACCTTTCAAGAAACACATGTACTTAGTGATTTCTTGAAGTAGTTAGACTGGCCAAAATTCTTACCCTCTTTTGGTTAATGGAGGGGGGGGGGGTGGGGACACATAGCTGTGGGCTTCTGATTCTGTTCTGTCTTCTGGTTCTGTTCTCCTCACTTGGTGCTGGGGATCAGGCCTGTGTTTGCAGCGTGCAAGACAAGTGCTTTAGCTGCTCGACTGTCTTTCTGGCCCCCCAGATTCTCGAGAATTCTTTAGTTCTTTGCTTGGCTTTGTCATAACTTCAGCACCCGTCTTTTCCTGTGTGCAACACTGTTCCTCTGAGCCCTCACAGCATGTTAGCACTCTTGTGCTTTGGTGCCCTTCACCCACTGTACTACTGAGAGCGAGAACAGTCTCATTTACCCTTTTATCTGCACTGTTGGATAGTGATGCTTAAGCAGGTATTCATCAAGTTTAGTGAGTATTCATGGTGGCAGTTTCAAGTGTTTTATTACGCCAATGAGGTATCACTTTTCATTTCATGCAAAGGATTCACCAAAACTTTTAGGCATTTTAAAAAAGTTAAAGCTAAATGTATAACATACAGTCTACATAAGTATGCCAGAAGGAAAGGTGCTGTGTAATGTGCTCGTGTTTGTGTGTACACATTGACTCTGGCTCTGAAATTTTGCATTAATTAAACTATGTTCAAGTGAGCCATTTACCATAGGACTTGAGAGAAGAGAGGGGTGCTGGAGGGAAGAGGAGAGAGAAGAGAGAGATTGAGAAATTAGGCTAGAGCAGTAGTACAGTGGGGAGGGTGGCTTGCCTTGCACATGCCCACCAGAGTTTGATTCCCGGCATCCCATATGGTCCCTCGAGCACCACCAAGAGTAATTCCTGAGTGCAGAGCCAGGAGTATCCCTTGAGCATCCCTGAGTGTGGTCTCCCCAATGCCCCCCTCCCCCCCAAAAAAAAAAAGATTTAGAAAAAATATTGGTCTTATGGTTATCATTTCCCCCTTCAAAAGATCTCACTGATAGCTGGGAAAGAGGCCATTTGTGAAGTGATCGTGATGACAGACCTTTGCACTGCTGAATACTGAATATTTCGTCTGGGCCAGACTCTGCTAGATGCTTTATATCCAAGTATGATCTCAAGTTTTTTAACTTCAAGATTTTACTGGCATGTAGGCAAACTCTCAACAACTACCTAATTTATTACAACATAAATTGCAAATTAGTATGCATTAGGAAAATCTCAGGGTTTAGTTCAGGGAAGGTTTTTAAGAAAATATGGTTTTTGGCCACCGGCTGTCTTTAAAGCACATTTCTGCCTTCTGGGTTAATAGCCTGAACCAACCTGCTTGGGAGGTGCACTTGTGTTTCCTACTCTGGAGAAGCCTGCATTCTCTCTGGAGCATGTTTTCTTTCTCTCCTTCCCTCCATTTCTTGAATAAACTTAGAGAAAATATTTAGGCTGGAGAAAAAAATGGTAAGAAACATTTTTTTTATTATGACAATATGAAATGACATATCTGTGCAGTTAGTGAAGATGGGAATTGTGCATTAGTACAGATTGCACACATTTGGTGTTACTAAGGGGTGCGACTTATTAAACTGTTCAAGTCCCCTGGGAGTGGCACTAGTCACGAGAACGATGGTAAGAGTTTGGGTCTTATTACCTGTGTTTTTCTGTTTCTTAAGTTGAGGTATCGAGGCTCTCGATATCATTTGTATTATTGTTTTGTGTTCACAGTGCCCTCTGCCAGGCTGGTCAGGGCTCAGCCCTCCTGTTAGCTCTCACCTTGATAGCCGTAACAGTCTTAACTTGAATTCTGGCTTCCCCCCTTGTCCCAAAACAAGCCCTTTAAAAGTGATGGTCAGACCACATCACTCTTCTGTCCAGCACCTGGGATGCTTCTGTTTTATTCCTGTATACCCTGGGATCCTTCCTGTGCTCTGCAAATCTCTGGGCATTCTCATATTCCTCCTCCCCTAATTCTGCCACTTCCTCTCTGCCACTCTCCCTTTTGCCGAGCCTTCGCTGCCTCCTTTGCTATTTCTGGAACATGCATGGCTTTCTTTTCCTCTCAGAAGCTTGTGTTCCATCACTGTTTGTCGTTAGCTTTTTCTTGATAAGATTCCTCCCTTGTGCTGTTTTAGGTCTCTGCTTAATTGTATTAAGAGGACATCCCCACTAGCCTGTGTTAAACTGGAATCTCTTGTTTTAGGTACTCTATATACTTTCCTGTTTTAGGTACTCAATTATACTTTCCTTTTCTCCATCAGTTATTAACACTCAACGTAGTGTACGTTGATTACCAAATTTCTTCAACTAGATAAAAGCTTCACCATAATAGGGCCTCACCCTCTCATCTTCCTCTCACTATTCCTGTGCCTGAAATAGCCATCTTTTACCTATTCTAGGTATTGAGTAAATAGTTTCTGAATGATTGATGGAATGAATGGATGTGCAATGAACAGCTGTCCAGTTTCTTTCCAGAGGACATGAGTACTTGTCTAATTGCATGTTTTCACCTCCGTAGCGCAATGGTCAGTTCTGTTCAAGGAAGCACGTATCCCGCCCAGGCTTCAGTCTACAGTCCTCCTCCTGTTGCTGCTGCAGCCGCTGCTGCCGACGTCACGCTCTATCAGAACGCAGGAACTGCCATGTCCCAGGTGCCAAGCTATAATCTCACGTCGACTCTGCCTCAGGCCGCAGTCTCTCAGCAGCCCCCTCAGCCCCAGCAGCCGTATTCTCAGAAGGCTCTGCTATAGGACTCCGGCTTCTCCTGGTGGCACATGTCTGCTCGACGCCCTTGACAGTGTCACTGGCTTCGTCATATGTTAAGATTTGTTTATCCTCAGCTTATAGGAATCTGTCTGGGTCAGAAGTTCAAATATTCAAGAAGGTAGAACTCTCTTGGATTCACACTGACTTGTAAGAGGTTCTCCTTTCTCCTTTCCCCAGAAGGATGAAGCTACACACAAGAAATTAACTTTCATAATATGAAAAGAATGAGACGAGATTGTCTTGTACAAAATACTCATTCTGCAAAATGTCAAACATACAAAAAGCTGTTTTGGCAAATATTGTGTGCGTGTATATATATACATATAGAGGGAGATGTGTAACTTCATTAGTGGTCATTTTGAATCACAATGGCGATCATGTGAATATATTTAACACTGTTAAATTAATTTACGTTGCTATTTTATTTTAATCATGAACAACTACCATGTTTCATAATTTTTGTGTAAATTTAAGATAATCTCTTAAACTGCAGGACAAAGTGATAGCCTATTTACGTGAGGTCATCCTCTTGCCCATGTTTCTCGTTAAACTACTTTTCCTTTCATTGTGAGCAAAATTACAACACGCACTTTCTGTAGCCTCTTTCTGCAGCCTCTGTACTACTAGCTGTCATCACACCAGCGCACAGTAGCAAAATTTGGTGCAATTAGAGCAAATGATGCTGTTCCCTTTAAATCGTTATATTTTGGCATGATATTTCAGTATATTGTGGGACCATGAGACACAGTTAAGTAGGATCATATTCTTTATACCTTTCTTTGTCCTGGTTGACGACTAGGTTTTTTTAAGCTGTATACTGTGTTTCTTGATGGCAGCGACACCAAAGATAGAGGCAATGAGTAGAAATTTTTTAACTGGAAAGAAAACGTGAATCACACTACATTTTCAAAATCTATTGTCATTCTTTAGAATATAAACAAAATTTGACTCCTCTGTCTTATCTATCCCATTAGTGGTCTTTTAAATATGTATGTCTTTAGTGCTTTGTATTCTTTAATTCTCATTAAAATGGATTTAAGTAGATGTTTCAAAGTAATCTCTATCCCTGGCTTTTCTTAACGATACTATTGTTACCTTTTGAACTGGTTTGGGGGCCTGTTCTCTTTCTCTCAAACTTCTAACAAGTTTGTTTTGGCTTCCTATTCAGATGGATTTTTAAATGTTTTTCTTTTAAACCATATAAAATATGCTCTCCACTGACATTTTAATCTTCTTGAATATTTATAATTTCCCTAATGTGCTATACTATTGTTTAACACTCTTCTTTAAACAACTGAGAAAACAGATTGAGTGTCTTAGTAAATCAGTTGCTATAACAGATTCCATGTTATAATTGAACATTTAACCTATATTTTCTGAGACCAATGTAATGAGGTAACCTGTTTTCTTTCTTTTTGACAAATGATTAGTTGTTGGCAAATAATATTAATGGTGACTGACTTTAGAGATTCAAATCTGGAGCACATTTTCAATTTAAATGTTACACTCTGGTGTTAAGTTTTCCTGAGTTTAGAGGATATCATTCTCAAATCGTAAAGATAAAATTTGAATTCATATTTATTGTGATATCTTCTATTCCAATTTGAAAATTCTACTTTAATAATTGTCCCATTGTGATGTTTTTCCTTTGATATATTTCTTTACCTGTGGCAAATGTATCATTTCCCATATTACTTTGATTGGCTTTGTGCTGTAAAATTAATTATGTCTTCTCTGGTATGCTTTTTGCCCTGTAAAGGTCAAATAATGTAAGGTGGAAAGAAGCTACCTTATTACAGTGCATGTACATTTTCTTATTCTTAGGCTTAAAAAAGTTTAAATGATGAATACTTGAAATGTAACTTCATTATTTTGTGCTTTTCATTTATTAGGTACAAAGATGTCAGATGGGAAAAAAATGATTTGTCAGGTAGAAAAATTTCAACAAAGATGAACCACTGATTTTTTTGAGTAATGTGACCAGGGCTAGTTAGGAGCCAAATGATTTTGTTTGAAAAACTAGTATATGTGTTGCACTTCCAAAATAATTTAGCTGCCTGCTTTTGAGAGGAGTCTTACATTTAAGATAAATTCATTATAATGTGAATTTCTGTGAAGCAAATTTTACTTCTCAGTTTAGTTCTTTTAAAAGTTTGGGGTTTTTCATAAACATCCAGTCTAGTTAATTACATGACATAAGTCGCTAGAAACCCCCATGACCAATTGGATATGATAATATATCAGTGCCCTGTATTTGTTGGGAGTAGTCTGTGGTATGTACTTCATGGAATTTTACTGTCTTTCCTAACTCTGTGCTCCTCCTTCCCTTACTCTGTTATCTGTCTCTTCTGTTCACTAAGAGACCTTTCTATGTGCCTAGAGATTTCCTTCTTTATATTAAAAACTACTGGAACTTTGATTCTGTACTTTTTAATTCTTGTATGTAAAGTGCTTATTAGACCACCAATTCATTTCTGTTATTTACAGCTTTCGCACAGGAGATATATAATTCAACTGAAAAATATTTTCAGTCCAAAGTCTCAGATTTACATTTGGCATAAATGAAAACTTACACTATGTGTCAAGTTAGTGTCCCATGTAGTATATGTTGGTTATAGGTGGTCAGACTTTTGCTCATTACATTCAAACCAAGGTTTTCTTTCTCTCACCTATCTGGGTTTACTTGGCAATTGGTTGAAGAATTAGTAATCAAATTGTAATTTGCGGTTTTACTCCTACAACATTTTTATTTTCTAAGTTAATTTTTTTAATTTGGTTAACTGCTATGCCCCTTAGAATAAAAATGTGCAGAAGAAACTATTTCTTTGAAGATCTTGTTTGCAGTTATCTTTCATTTTAAAATGATGGTTAGAATAAATGTGTTTGTCAGGTATCAATAGATACTGATATTCTGTACATTTTGATATGTTCTGAATACAGTTTCATGTATTCATTTTATTAGTGTGATTCCCTCCTTTGAAACGATACTGTTTAGTATTATATTTTTGAGGTTTCCTAGCTTTAGCAGTAGTTTATCCTTATATTCCAGAGCATTTAATTTATTTTTTTTTCTAAGTGCAGGATTACATATTAATCTTATTAAAATTCAGTAACACCCTGGGTAAAAGCAAACTGGACTTGTTTTAATGATCTTCTAGTGGTCAGATACTTAAGGGAAAAATTTTATATTTTTTTAAGAGTAGTATCCAATTTTTTTATCTGACTCCCTGATCCGTAACGAGTATCTTTTGAATTCATAGCTTCAAAATATGTATGTGTTTATTTTACAAATTATGCAAGTTCTACTCTGTTCAGCTGTTTGTACTTTATAATAACCCCCCAAAATACAAATTGCTAAAGGGTGAGATAAAAAATTAATAGATTTTGTTATTTTATTTCTGTATCTTACTGGTTCATTTTATTTGTATTTTAGGTTGTATATACCCAACTTGAAGACCATTGTTTTAGAGCATGAAATTGAACAGAGGTTGTGCATGATATTAGAAGCGGTGCTATTCCTGGAAACTTTTATATTAATATTTTTTAGATCAACAGAAACATTACAAGGATAATCACAACACCTATACTGTCTAGATTCACTAATCATTAAACAGTTTATCATATTTATTGTATGTTTTTATATGCATATGTTGAATGAGTATGCACACATCTCCTATGAAGGTGTGAATTTACTGAAGAGAAAAGAAATTTTTTCTTTTTCAAAGAGCTCATTGTAGTTTGTTTCCCTAATGTTAGCTTTCACAATAGAGCTGAAAATATTTTATAACCCCAGTAAAGATATTTCACGGGATAGTGGCTAATCCAATGTTTTTATGGCATAAGTCTTTTAAGGGCAGGATTGTCACTGCTTTATTACTTTAAAAACACATAGTATATACACTTTGTGAATGGTTTTGGCTAATTATGTGTATGTGTAGTTTGTTAGCTAGTTAAGATACCAAATATTTATGAAAATTAGTTCAATGTCTATATGATAATCACTGCTCTCAAAAAAAAAAAGCAAAACATTCCATTTTGAAAATACCTCTATGCCTCACCAAAAAAAGTTAAATTAATGCTAAAAAAGCATGGATATTCTTTAGTTAAAAAATGTAATAGTAATTCTAAGGGAGCTACTAAAGATAACAAGAGAGCACGGGTGGGGCTGGAGAGTTAGCCTAGGGGTTAAGGCCTTGCATCTGGCAGACCCTGTGCAGATGGTCCCCTGCACATTGCCAGTGCAGCCGTGGAGACCCCATCCCCCCACCCCCCAGCACGTCACAGTGGCCCAGGTGCTCCTGACACTGCGGGCTCAAGCAGTACCACTCCCTCAGCTCCCCTTCACATTTCACCACCCGCCCAGGTGGCCTAGAATTTCTTGGATGGACTTCTGACCTCCTGACCATGGACAGGAGCACTAAGGCTGCCCACCCACATCCCACCCACCACCATCCGCAAATAACTACAGGTAAATTCACCTTAAGTCAGTTACTGCCTCTGGTAGATGGCACATGAGAAAGTAAGGTAAAGGTAAAGGCCCTCCCGTTGTTCATCGATTTGCTCGAGCGGGCCCAGTAACGTCTCCATTGGAGACTTTGTTGTTACTGTGTCTGGCATATCGAATACTCTCGGTAGCTTGCCGGGCTCTCCGAGAGGGGCGGAGGAATCGAACTCGGGTCGGCCATGTTGGCTGCGTGCAAGGCAAACGCCCTACCGCTGTGCTGTCGCTCAGTATTGTTAATTTCCATTGTTAAATGTATTTGTTTCTATTATTGCAAGTGCTGCTATGATGGTATTTAGGATTGAAGAGAGGAGTGTGAACTAAATAGTGAGGATTAAATTGTACGGTTCATAGTTTTCATCTTTGGTGCTGGCCAAATGTTTAGTATCCTAAATAAGGTGCAAAATCAGTGATGACTTGTTTTACATCATAAATATGTGACCTTGAAAAATACCATTATATGTTTAGTTACAAGTTGCCAATAAGTATTGTTAGTCATTAAAAAGAGATGGACATTTTTTTTTAAAAAGTTGATTTTTCTTAAACCTGCCTTTTTCCCTTGTGTATCAGTTACATGTATTTACATGTATCCATTACTTACATAATTACAGAAAAGAATCTCACGAATACACTTTAAAGTTTTCTCACACTTTAAAGATTATTCCTTATTGCCACTTATAATAAAATGATTTATAAATATGAAAGTATAAATTTTATAAATATACAAATTTCTAAGGGCTGGGGGGAGTGTGGCACATAGAGTGCTTGCCTTGCACGTGGCCAACCTGGGTTCAATTCTGGGTACCACGTACAGTCCTCCCAGCCCTGCCAGGAGTGATCTCTGAACAGAGCCAGAGGTTGCCCGGTGTGGACTCCAGAACTATATAACTTTATATTGTTATATACGTACATATATATTAATATAATTTTATATCCCCGGCTTCCCATGTGGTCCCCAAGCACTGCCAAAACTGGTTCCTGTGCACAGAGCCAGGAATAAGCCCTGATGAACATTGCTGTGTGTGGCAATGCTCAGTTCCATATATCCTCAGCCCCAGGTGTCTTTTCCATTTTCCCACTAACACCCTGGCAATGGGTTTTAAGGTAGAAGCAATATTTTCCCTGATGTGGTTCTGGTGATACATGTGTTTTTGTCATAATCCATTTTTCACCAAGGTAAACTACCAAGGTAATCTGGTTCTCCTTTGGCATCTTGCATTTTGATCACAGTTGGTGAGGGAAGGCATCTAACTAGTCAGAAGATGTAACCATTTATTCAGAGTTGAGGGGGAGCAGGCCTGGCTGGGAGGAGAGATACCTAGGTGAGAAGTGGATCCCCAGATGCTTTTCCAAGTTTAGGGGCTGCCCTGATAGAGCTCCCAAAACTTGGAAGAAAATGACTTTACCCCTGATAAGTCAAAACTGAAAAAAATTTTGGAGAAGGTCTGTTTTGGAGCCCGTACTGGGTGTGGTGTTGAGTCGTACGCCTGGCTCTGTACTCTGGGGTCACTCCTGGCAGGCTCTTGGGACTTCATAGTGTGCTGGGGATTAA